GCCCTTTAAGAATGTGTTCCTGCCTCCATTCTGTCATTCCCTCATATTTGTCCTGGCCTCTGGCTCTAGGTCAGGGGATAGCAAAGAAAAGATGATGCACCAGGCCACTCTTGTTCACCAGGGACATGAGGTGGGTGTGCTGCAGAAGCAGAGAGCCATGGTAGAATAGGAAGCAAGGCAGACAGTGGATGGAGGTGCCACTCCTCAGCTCTTCCATCCTGTTCTCAGCTCCCTGTCCCCTTGATGATAGAACGCTCAGGGCTTAGTCCTTGTGCCTCTTCTCTTTCCCCGCCCTCCAGTTATGATCTCATCAGCCTTTAAATACCATTATATGCAACAGATCCACAAATTAGATCTCTAGCCCAGTCCAAACTCCAGACTTCAGACTCCCATGTACAACCACCTACTGGACAGATTTTCATCCCCCAAACCTGCTCCTCCCACATTCTTTCCTATCTCAGTAAATGGCAAATTCAGTCTTCCAACTGCTCAGGCCAAAAACTTTGAAGTCATTCCTGACTCCTCTCTCTCACATCCCACATGTCAGTAAATCTCTTAGGTGTTACCTGCAAATGTATCCAGAATACAACCACTTTCACCACCCCAGCTCAAGTCACTATTGTCTGATTTCAGCAGTGATCATCTTCTTTTTTTTTTTTTCCACCTCTCCAGTGCTAGGGATCAAATCCAGGGCCTCATGCATGACAGGTAAATGCTCTACCACTGAGCCATATCCCCAGCCCTACAGCAGTGGTCTTCTGATGGTTTTCCTAAACCTCTTCCCTTGCCCAGGCGTCTAGTCTCAATACAGAAGCTAGATGATTATTTTTAAAAATGTGTGAGATCTTTCTTGTCCTAAATCTTCCAGTGGCTGACAAGGCCTGACACCAAAAATTCTGTTACCTTTCCGATCCCTGCTACTCTCCCCTACAGCCTGATGGCCTTGCTGTTCCTTCACGGTGCATGTTTCCACTGTAGAACCTTTGCAATGGCTGTTCCCTCTGCCTGGAATAGTCTTCCTTCAGATATCTGCATGCCTTATGTTTTCCCCCTGTGCCTATGCTCTGTACACCAACAAGTAGAGAGAAGGCAGTATTAAAAAAAGGAATGCAAATGTGATAAATTTTAAATACACCGGTTATAAATGCCACTCAAATGTTTTAAATAAATAGTTTTCCTGAGGCAATGTGAACACTCCCCCACCCATCTGGTTTGGGGATCCATACTGCACCCTAGTGGTCATTGTGGGAAAAGTCCTATCCTCTGTTACTCTGCTTGGGGTCATAGATATAAACTTTGTTCCCATTTGAACTGACCTGGGCCATCTTGCTCCAGGGACTCCAAATGAGATGTCCAAGTTGCCTCTGCTTGGCGTGAGAAGATACAGGAGTTCAGTAGGAATTTCAGATCCTCAGTTGTCCACTGAGTGAGCTGGGTAAGTGATCTAACTCTCCCCACTAGTGAAGGGGTTTCAAATACATACTTTCTGGGGCTTTGAGGAATGAAAAAGAACATAGAAGGCACTGTGTTGAGTACCTTCTATGTTCTCTATAACTGTTATCTACTTTTAGAAGAGACTCCTGGACAAGTGTGAGTAGTTGAGGACTTGACTCACTCATTTTGGGTGAAGTGAGTACATGGTGAGGTGACTGAAAGCTACTGTCCTTGCCAAGACAGTTGACTACTGTTGTTCCTCCCCTGACCCCCAGTAGTTACTTGCTGAGGCTGTCCTGGTATAGTCTTGAGGCTTGACTATGCTGATGCCATGTGGCACGGGGAGACTCTCTTGATCTTTATGATCCAAGCGTTACCCTCAAGATAACTCAGGGCAGCACATGGGCAGGACCCATTACCTCAGATGCAGAAACCAAAGCTCACTGTTAAGAAACTGATCAAGGAGAGAATTGAGGCAGCAAGACAGAAATTCTATATATTTAGCTTTTTCTCAGGTTTTCCAGGAGGCTGTGCATCAGGAAAAGCAACCTCATAAAGCCTGAGCTCAGGGCAAACCTGGTCAGGGGCAGGATTTCCACATGAGCTCTGTTTGCAGAGGTCAGAGAGGCAAACAACTCAATTTTCTGAGGACTCATCTCCCTCCTGGTACAGGATGCTTCTAAGTTGGCAAACACAAGGCCTAATGTGGCATGTCTCTTCTTGGATTAGCCTTTGTCGGTAGAGGGATCAGAGTGGCTTTGAGAATCTCCTGGGGATCCTCACACTCTAAAGGCCATGGAAGACAGTATGGGACATCCATGCTAAAGCTGTCTGGGGTTTGGGAGGCAGAACTTATCCTTGGGTTGTGGGTGAGTAGACTAATGAAGACGTACCCTGGCAAGGTTCTCTTAGGAAACAAGGTCCCCAGGCTTTCAGGCATGAAGCAAGAAGGCCAGCATCATAGGAAGGGCACCCCCCACCCCCAATCTTAAATCTACAGGACCCAATTACTTGGACTTTGCATTTCCCTCAAGTCTGACATTCTATTTTCCCCTCCCTGATCTGTTCTCAGGCCTGGTTAGGACAGGATCCAGAGCTGTTTCAGGCAGATCCTGCAATCAGGAAGGCCTGCTTCATCTCTAGTCCTCCACCAGTCCTCCCACCCATTGCATCAGACTGGCACTGCTGCTGAGAGGAGCCAGTCCTGCAAGACAAGCCAGAGGGAATTCCAGAGATAAGAGTTTGGTTTCTGGAAAATTCTGACCCATGAAAGAAATCCTGTTAAGAAAGTGTAGAACTGGAAGGGGGAGAAGACAGGACCTGATTCTCAAGAAGCAATGGTGTGGGATCCTGGTCCACAGATTCCCTTAAAACACAGGATCCAAGTGTAAAATTGTATTCAAGACTGCTTGTGCAGTGAAGAATCAGCCAGACCTATGAGAAACAATATTCCCTTGCTGAGGTAGCCTGGGGCTCCCTTGGAGCTCAGAAGGGGGCTGGTTCCCTTGCAGACCCCAGGCATCATATCCTAACTCTCTGATCTGAATCTCTTCTTTGCAGGGTCAAATCTTATCACCCTCATCCTCTTTTATCTGGATCACCTCTGCAGCCTCTTGGTTCTGCTTCATATATCAAAATTGCCCTCTGATCCTTTTCACACACTTTTGCCTAAGAGGCTTCTCTAGAACAGGGTAGTAATATAAGGTCCATGGCCAAATCAAGCTTGCTAGCCAGTTGTGTTGGCAGTAATCCCAATAGCTGGGGAGGCTGAGGCAGGAGATCATGAGTTCAAAGCTAGTCTCAGCAATGTAGCGAGACCCTGTCTCTAATAAAATATTAAAAAGGTCTGGGGACATGGCTCAGTGGTTAAGTGCCCCTGGGTTCAATCCCCGGTACGAAAGGAAAAAAATAAAAATCTAGCCTGCTGCCTGTTTTTGCACAACCCATGAGCTAAGAATGTAATTCACAATTTAAAAATCTTATTTGTGGTGTAGGGATTGAACCCAGTGCCTTATGCCTGCCAGGCAAGTGCTGTTCCACTGAGTTACATCCTAACCCAAATATCCTCATGTTTTTCCCTGTTCCCCACCAGGGCTGGGGGATGGAAGCTTCATGCAACCAGGCAAGTGTTCTACCACTGAGCTATATGCTCTGCCCTACAATTTTTAAATGGCTGGGAAAAAGTCAAAAGTATATTTTGTAACATAAACAAGTGATTTTTCTTTAAATTTAGTTGTTGATGGACTTTTTAAAATTTTTTGTAGTTATAGATGTACAGAATGCCTTTATTTTTATGTAGTGCTAAGGATCAAACTCAGTGCCTCACACGTTAGGCAAGTGCTCTACTTCTGAGCTATAGCCCCAGCCCCTGGACATTTATTTTATTTATGTGCCTCACACATGCTAGGCAAGCGTTCCACCACTGAGCTACAACCCTAGCCCCCTAAACGTGATTCTAAGAAAGGTGAGATTATGTACTATCTATGGCTGTGTTCACACAATGGCAGAGTTGTCTAGTTGTTAACAGAAACTGTAAGTTGCACAAAGTCTATTACTCTAGTTGCCTACAGAAATATTTGCTGACTGTTGCTCTGGATTAGGAATTTGGCCATGCTGTTCTACTTAGAGTTCATCAGTGGTTCTCATCAGCTGACACACATCTACCTTTCCAGTCTCATCCCAATCTGAACAATTCTTCCTCAAGCCCCGGAACATCTGCCTCTCGTAGTCCCAATACACAAGTGGCATCTGGAAAGCATGCAGCCATTCATAAGGAGCAGCCTGGCAGGCATTCCATCCCTTTATTTGGATAGCATTATGGAGAAATGTTTACCAATTTTTCCAGATACCAAATGTAATTTTCATGAACTTTGAGTTCCTCTGATGGATCAGGCACCTCCACAGCTGCTATTCATTTAATCCTCACAACCCTGATGAGGTAGGTGAAACTTCCACTCCATCAAGTGGCAAGTTGTGTAGCAGAGCTAGAACCTGAAGTCAGACCTCTTGCCTCCTGCTGATTCTGAGATGCCTTCACAGAGTTCACCCACCTAATCCACCACTTTAAAGACCTAACAGATGCTTGTGGTGTTTCTGTTGTGTGTAGGGTCACAGACCCTATGCTAAATGGGCCCAAAGAGACGAAGTTTTGTTGTTTTCTGACATTTCTTTCCAGTTGTCTGTTCCCATGCTATACCTCAACCTTTCAAAGTAGGTTGGGTGAGGACCAAAGGGAAACCCTGCTCTTCTTACAAAAATGCCTGAATTTGGAATTTCACATCTCAAATTTCCTTCTGCTGCTCTGGGGATCAAGGTTTGTTTTGAAGCAGAAGGAAGCTGCTGGAAATCTGGTCTCCATACTAGAGGGTTACCAATGCAAAGGGAGCCAAATTAATTTAACTGTTGACACACCTGCTTTAAAGGAGCCTGAAGAATGCCTCCAGTGGGCTTCTGGACATAAGCTCTGGACTATCCACATACTTCTTTGAATATTCAGAGGTCCAGAGCTCAGAGAAAATCAACATGGCTGTTGAAGGCCTAGGAAAAAGCAATGCAGGACAGTTGTCTATATGAGACTCTTTATCAACCAGAGAGGAGTTAGGATTACACTAGTCAGTTCATAGAGGCCACAGTGTGAATCTGGTAAAAGGAAAAGCTTGTTCTACACTCTTTATTATGGGAGATGGCTAAACTGTCACTGGACAGGCTCAGTGATGTGGTATAAGAAGCATCAGGAACTTGAGAAAATGGAATTCTATAACTGACTTTCTTGTAGGTCTAGAACTGACAGTATTAGGAAACATTAAAAAGAAGTTCATCTAGATAGCTCCAAGACAGCTTTTGGCAAAATACAGTAAGACTTAGGAAAGATGGTTAGGTTTAAGTTGACAGGAGTGATTTCAAATTTGGTGTACAAATTTAGTATTTGGTATTTCAGGCTGAGAATTTGCAGAGATCTATCTGATGTTGCAAGCATTTTCAGGAGGAGGAACAACTGGGAAAACTAACTATGACGAAGTGCCATGAAGCCAGTTTTGGGCAAAAATTCTGATTTGTCCAGATAAAACCCAATATTCCCCCAACCCTCAGAGCAATCACAGTGATGATTTGAGGAGACTCTTTAAATATATCACTGAAAACCTAGTGACCATACAATCAGAGATCTGGCCATAGCGAAACACTTTATACATGTAGGAATAGACAAGGGGATTTCTGAAACACTCATGCTTGGATGTATCAGTACAAGACAGCACATGAGGCTGTGGTCTGCCAGGCAGTGAGGAACAAGCATGATTTATCTGCTGGCAAATAAGTCTCTACTACATCTAATTATTCTTTTATCTAAGGGCATCTTGATCTCAGTCCTGGACATCAAAGTAGTCAATTACTGGCTCCTTTGCTATCTTCTGTAAATTACTGCTCCCAGGATACCTGAAAAGCAAACAAAAGAACAATTAATCTTTTCTTCTTTGGGGGAAAGAGACTTCAGAAAGTTAAGGATCAGCAGATTAGCCACTTGTGAAGCTTTGATAAGATAGAGAGGCAAATTCGAGCTGGTGGTAATTGAAATTTGGTGATGAGTACACAGGTGTTTATTAGTTAATACCATTCTAACCTGAAAGTTTCTCCATAACAGTATTTTTTTTTTATGCACTGGGGATTGGACCACATTCCCAGTCCTTTTTTTTTTTTTAAATTTAGAGACAGGGTCTCACTAAGTTGTAAGTTGTTGAAGCCTTGAGCTTGCTATCCTCCTTTCTTAGCCTACCATGTTGGCTGGAATCACCGGCATGTGCTGGCATGGAATCACTGGCATGTGCTGGCATGTCTGGCCTTCCATAGTAGTTTTATAGAAAAATCAAACAAGTTAAAAAAAAAAAAAAAAAAAAAGGTAGCATGGCATAAATAGGCTAATGAACAGTGTTCATCAGAGTCCAGGCTGCTTGGTTTCCAGGGGTAGAGAGGAGCTGGCTCTATGGAGCTACATGGCCCTTGGCTGAGGCTGAGACACAGAAACACCAATTGCTCTGACCCTCATGGTGACTCTATAAACTGCTCTTATTATCCTTCCAGAGGTTTTGTGCAGGAAGTACAGAAGAGTTACTGCTAGGACTTCTGAGTGGAAGGCCAGAAAGGAGTAGACACTCTCTAGGTTTCAGAGTAACTTTCAGACATGCTGCCTTGGTCATAATAGGGCAGCTGGGCTCCCCTCTTGACAAAGGAGAGGAAGAGAGCGAGGATATGCTCTTTCCCTGCTCCTGTTTGAGAAAACATCTGGCAGACTTGCTACTTGCCAACTTGTTTTCTTCTTTAAATCACGAATGTGTTTTTGTGGTAAAAATAATTCAAGCCACTTAGAAGTAGACAACAAAATGTGGAAGTCCCCACTCACCCTCTTCACTGCCCAACTCTTACCCCCAATCCCACTTTCATCTCCAGAGTGACTATTGTTAATTATGTGATGTTCCAGTTCTAAATCATTAAGTATGACAGACTAAATCCATTTTCTACCTATATTGTGGAAATTATGTCCAGTCACTGCACTCCCTGGAGTGAAACTGGCATTACAAACATCAAATTTGTCTTCTGTGGCTTAAACAAATGTGTCTGATAGCCAAATAAACCTTATATATTTGAACATGGCACCCTAAGGCCAAGCCCAGAGAGGCCAGTAGTGGCTGGTGCAGCCCAGGCCAGTTCAGCCCCTGATGGCGTCTCTACCAGCCAGGTCCCTTTGGAAACAGCTGAAGAATTCTTACTTGTCTGTCTGCTGTCTGTGATGAGGAATTGGTGGTGGAGGTCGTGTCTGCATTTCCCTTTCAAGCACACCTGTCAGTGTGGTAGGCGGACAAATGGACTTCCCCCTGAGGAGTCAAAAAACACAGTAATGAACAAAGAGGATCATTTATACAGATAAGCAGACAGTCAGAAACTCAGTTTGTGACTTTGGCGTTTTTTTTTTTGCTGAGTACTCTTTACTATTACCTGTCTTCTCTTGGGCATGGTTACTTGCATTCAACCCCATCTCTTCCACCTAACCCTGCTGGGCCTGTTGCCTCATGTTACACTTCACTATTCTTCCTTGGGAAATTCTGACTCCCTTGGGTTCTTTTTAAAAATTTTTTGTGATGCTGGAGATCAAACCTAGGGCCTTGCACATGCTAGAAAAGCTATATTTCCAGACCCAACTTAGGTCCTCCCTTTCCCCTTCTGGCTCACACTACTGCCTAAGTTTCCTTTGATAGTAAAATACTCTTCACATGGTATGCCTTGAACCAGAGTCTGGCATTTGTTCTATTTCTCTCATGCTAGGAAGATGATGCCAGGGAGGGACACAGGGAGGAATAAAAGACAGAAGGGAAAAGGGACACCTTTAGGCCCCCAAGGTCTGTTCCCTCTACCTACAGAAATAAATCCTCTAGCATCCTCCATAGATTAGTGCACACACGAGGCTTTGGGTATATGTGCCTTATGGAATGAAGCATGGAATTCACACTCTGGTTCAGATCTTCAGATCATAATGAAAGTCTGGCCCAGCAAAGTAGCTTTCCCTTTTATTCTTCCAGAATGAAGAGACAAAAGGAAAGCAAGTCCCAATAGATCCTGCCTCCTGGGTCCAGTTTGCCTTGCTGAGTTCTTCCCGTGACAGTCAGATCAACCTACCTGATGGCAGTGACTACAACATTGCGCTTTGGTTCACTGTCATAGCTCACGCTCTCCAGACCATAAACTTGGGCCAAGTCATGGATGATTCGGCGGTGGTCTCTGTTCATGGGAGGGAAGCTGTGGCTTTTCTTACTATTCTTTCCCTATATTGAGAAAATAGATAACTGATTGATAACATCATCTTAAAAATAGAAAACTTTATAACTGGGCTGGGGATATAGCTCAGGCCTTTTTATTTTGAGATAGGTTCTTGCTAAGTTGCTGATGCCCTCGAATTTGTGATCCTCCTGCCTCAACCAACTACCTTGAGTCCTGAGATTACAGTGGTGCGCAACTGCACATGGCTTTGGGCCTCTTTTTAAGGAGTGTACCTGCTATTACTCTTTGAGCACTAGTCATACAAAGTTTTATCTTTATCTAAGAGTTTCTGTCCTGACTTTGGAGTAACAAAGAAGGAGTGTGCTATCTAACACATACAGCCCTCTGAGATCTGAGGGCCTTGCAGGAGTTCTAAATATTCCTTAGTCATGTGACTATCATTCCTTGTCCAGAGTTTCTTCACCCCCTCTGAGGCACTGAGCTATGATTTTTATTAACATTTAATTTGACTGCATATTATTTTCTGCAATGACTGAACCTGGACAAGCTTCCATGGATGTTATAATGCCTGGGTTTTGGGGAAAGATTAGAATCCTCAAGCAAACTATGAATTAACTACTCTAGGCTGATGGTGTTTCTAGGACTTGATCTCTTATCAAGCTGGCCTTAGAGGAATGTCCAGTTGGATGTTTTGACTTCAACCTTATTCACAGCCTCCACAAGGGTTTCCATTTCCTTCTCAACATCACTGACAAACTTTAAGTCCTTCCTGAAATGAGAAACCACCAGTTAATTTTGTTTGTTTCGGTTCTTCCAGGAATCCCTTCTGCTCACCCTCTGCCTATAAAGTACATACAATGTACAATGCTGGCAAAAAAGAAGTCAGGAACTGTCAGATAGCAGACAGCCATGATAAAGGGGAGAGAGGGAGGGAGGGAGAGAAAGAGAGAGAGAGGGAGAGAGAGAGAGAGAGAGAGAGAGAGAGAGAGAGAGAGAGAAAATCACGATGTTCTTGCTATCTTTAAATATCCCTTAAGGGGATTAAGTTCTTC